GGATGGTGAACCCGTTTTCTTGAGATTATGCAATTATGATTTTATGATTATTTCTTCTACTAGTTATGATTGTTTGTGCATGAAACTGATCAATTTATGTGCTTTATCTGTGATTATTGGGATTGACGCGACAGAGCTATTTTGATAATTAGACGGTAAGTAGAAGAACATTCTAGTAGTTTTCACCGGATGAGTGTGTCAATTGCATGTGGTGTCGTAGACATACTGATATCACCTTAGGTAGCCATTTACGAGACTTGTTAGTTAATGCTTTATTCATAATTGGTTTGCATAGACATATAGTGCTTTAATACACGCGACAGCGGGTTATGAGTAAATTAGTGTCTTGGGTTAATAATCATGAATCATATATTTCATAATTGAGGGGTTTTGGGTGAGAAATTCTTGCATAGGGGGGAAGATAAAATCCTAGGTCCGTTTTTATTGATATCTTCTCGTGTTTACTTGCTTTCATAATTAGTTTAATTATTAAGTTGATTGTATTTGACAACTTTGCGTAGGCTGGATAAAAATCATAATTGTTAGAATTTGGTACTTAGGATTAGGTAATTTGAGTATTTCCTGTGGGATCGACATCCGACTCTCACGAGTCCACTTTTACTACTTGTTTGCGATACGTGCACTTGCGTGTTAGGTATTTATCCCCAACAGTATCCAAGCAGTGTTGAACCTCAAATTCATCCCTCCCACACCAAGTAGGAAAGCAATTCTTGCTGTCTTCTGGAACTTGTTGATTTTTCTTAAGATGTTTGGACAAATTGTGCCTTCGTACTTCTCTATCCCAATCTTTTTTGTTTGGTGTCTAGTTGTCAATCTTCTCCTAATCCATTCAAACATGCTGATTATAGGCTTCTCCTTTGCTTGAAGGATCATGTTGTTGAAAGATTCACACAAATTATTGACTAGCACATGTGATTTGCAACTTGTGGTGAAGTGTGATCTGGTCCAATGATAAGGTGGGATGTTCCTTAACCATTCTGCTGCAGCTTTATCAATCTTATGTATTCTTGTTTCCAGTTGATGCAGCTTTCCATAACAGTGTCTTCTGATCTTCAGATGGCCACTTACTTCTGAAATTCTGATATATATGTCCCACACAGAACCTGTGAGCACAACCAGGTGCTAGTTATTTCAATGTCTCCAGCAACCCCTTCTGTCTATCAGAAATCAATGTCCATTTGGTTTCTTCTACACCACCAATATCTTCAAGTAATGCAATAATAAACCAAGTCCATATCTCCATATTTTCAACAGGCACAACAGCAAGTCCAATAGGAAACAAATTTTGCCATCTCTACCAATTGCAGCCAAAAGTTGTCCCCCGTGAAATGTTTTAAGGAAACACCCATCCAAGCCAATCAAAGGTCTACAACCAGACATGAATCCCATTTTCATTGCATCAAGACAGAAATACATTCTATCAAAGATATTGGTTCTAAATAGAGTACCTTTCTGAGTAACATCTTAGAACCAGGATTTTTGTCCCTCGCTGTTTCACAATAGTCCCACAATAGCTTGTATTCTGCTGCATTATCTCCTCTAATCCTCTCCATTGCTGCTTTTTTTGCTCTCTTGGCCTTCCAGTATCCAGCATCCACACCAACTTTTCGTAAGATGGTATTTTGCAACTTGACTATAGAAATGTCTGGATTATCTTTAATTCCTTGTTCCAGTCTCTTCCCAATATACTTGGCATTAGCATGTCTGTTGACCTTCACTTTACAACATGTGTGCTCACCTAAAATAGTCTTGATCTGCAATATAAGTTCATAAACATGTTATAAACAAGTCTTACTGTCATATTAAAATTTTAAAAGTATTAGTTATACCTTAAATACTGGACCACCTTGAACAACTGATGCATGAATCCTCCAGTTGCATCCATCTGCCTTGCACTTTGCAGTAACTCTTTTTTTTCATTCTTCACATACTCCAACTCATATCCATTTCTCACAACCCAATCTCTAAGAGCCTCTCTATATAATTCAATAATTTGAAACTTCATACAAACTTCCAAGTCCCTATTTTTCATATTCTGCCCCTCAGTGTATATAGGATACCTGTTACACTCATTTCTATCATCTAGATTCTCAATTTCATCATCATCATCTACATCACTAAACCACTCTGATGGAGATGGATCAATACTATACTCAGCAATTTGGGCCTTTTTCTTCTAGATTTCCTCAACATATTTTTCAGCTTCTTCACTTGGTCTTGTTTAGTGATAACTTTTTCCACAAAAATATCATCTTCTGAAGATCCTTCAATGTCTTCCAACACTTCAGTTGGAGCATCTGAATCTATGTCATCAGCATCATGATCAGGTTGAATGTAGTCTGTATCAAATGAAACATCAAATTCAGAAGAGCTTGTATAATTTGTTGTTGGAGGCTCTTCAGCCTGTACAAAATTGGAAGCAAAATTTGTTGCCCATGCATCAAAATCATCTTCTTCTTCAGTAATTGGAGGCACTAGCACTTCTTCAGCTCTTGGTTGCACTTCTTCAGTAATTGGAGACAATTCTTCTTCAGCTATTGGATGCACTTCATCAGTATTTGGAGACAATTCTTCTTCAACTATTGGCTGCACTTCATCAGTATTTGGAGACAATTCTTCTTCAGTTCTTGGCTGCATTTCATCACTATTTTGAGGCAATTCTTCTTCATCTCTTGGTTTCACTTTATCACTAATTGGAGGCAATTCTTCTTCAGCTCTTGGTTGCACTTCATCAGTAAGTGGAGGCAATTCTTCATCAACATTTGTTGATGCTTCCTCTTCAGTTGTTGGTTGCACTTCATCAGAAATTAGAGGCAATTCTTCATTAGTTGCTTGAACTTCTTCAGGTTCTTGCAATAACAGAGGAATTTCTTTTTCTGGTGTTGGATGAATAATGTTCCCATTTCTGTCAACTGATATAAGTGGTTCTATACCAAGCTCCCATGTGTACAATGTCACATGGTTTAGTCCTTGGTGTACATCAATCAAAAATTGGATGCCAATGTCACTTTCCACAACCTTCAACTCATAATCAAGTGGTTGCCCAGGATACAAGAAGTAGAATTGTATATCAAACCTCTTTCCTCCACAGAGCCTATAAATCTTGTAAAGTGTGTCCAAGTTGAGGTAGTCTAAATTCACATCATGGACTTGGTCATATCTTCCTCCATCATAAGTTAATTTCTTGTTTTGAACAAACATTCCATCCAACCAAACATTAAATGTACAATAGTGGTCCATCTTGTATAAAGACAAAATTCTAAATAATCAAAAGATGGACCACGTTTTAAAGTTTAAATGCAATGAAACATTATTTAATTCAAAAACTGAGACAAAAAAAATTTACTTTTATATTCAACTTCGATACTGCAAAGCTCTGTACCCCACAAATATTCTTAAATATTAGCCATGTGCATAGATTATTATTTTTTGGTATATAGAACAAGACCCAACAACAATCAAACATAAACAAAGAAAAACCGACAAAAAACATTAAATTTCAGACTCATAAAGTAGTATATGCAGGAACACAATCCAAACATAAAAAAACGGGACATAACAAGCAGAAGATCCGAAAAAAGAAGGGTAAAACTCACCTCAACAGTCTTCTATATTTTCATGTCAAAAGCTTCAATCGTTTCACTTCACCTTGCGTGTATTCGAACCAAAAGAATTGACAGACTAATATTGGGGAATCGATTTAGGGTTTCTCAGAATTTAGGGTTTTTTGGAATTTTGGGGATTTTCACAGTGAGAGGGAGAGTGTGTAAATCTGTTGATAATACCACGCTTTTACTGAAGGGCTTTTTTGTCTTTTCACATGTGGTCAACGGGTGAAATAAAAAAAGGGTCGAGTGTACTTGCTTGCACCAAAAGGCGAAATCCCTCGCCCCCAGGGCCCCCATCCCTTGGCCCGACAAGGATTGATGGAGGAATGTAAATCATGGTAAGTCAACGGCCCGTTTAGGTAGCGGACCCGGACCTGGTGCCCACAAGGAACCAACCCTCATTGGAGTTGAAATTCCCACACTGCGGCTGCCAGGATTCGATCCTAGGACCTTGCACCAACTTACCACCTCCGGAACCAGTTGAGCTAGAACCATGCGGGCATTATTATTTTTTGTTAATGGTAAACAGATTTTCTGGTCTAAATAATAAAAACCAGCCCAGCTATCCGTAATAACCAAAATCCCCATTTGATTAACTGTTGATTGAGTTTTTACAGAAAATGTGTACAGTCTATTATACTTTCTATTAAATAGGTGAGAAATAAAAAAAAAATATCTGAGATTATGTAAAGTCTATTCCCTGGGATAAAAAAAATCCGTGAAAAATCACACTGTAAGGGATTGGTGTAAGACGGAAACAAACCTCAGGATATTTTTGGTAATTACAAATAGATGAGGGTGTTTTGCGTTATGGACCCTAAGTTTAGGGTTTTTTTTTTTTTTTGTAATTTATCCTAATTAAAAAGAGGGGGAAAATAAATTTACTTTACTTAAAAGTCAAAACTCTATGTAGTACGAAAACTTCAACTTCTTAACGTTTTCGCATTTCACATGTTTGTCAGAAACTCGAAGACACCTACCGAACACCCTACGAGCCATTTCGCAATTCCTAAAAAGTTAAAAACATGTTTGAATAACAAATTTTCAAATATTTTTTTTTAATTTCTTGATTATTTACATGATTTAATGTACAATTGTAAAATGATAGTTCGTAGTAAAATTTATTTTAAAAATAGTTTATAAATAAATAAAAACTTATATATGCTTGTATAATATATATAAATATACTCCAATACTTTTAATATTTACACGTTTTCCCCCAAGTTCCCGTAACCCTATTTTCGGGACATGTCGTTTTCCCGTATCGTTGTTTCTGTGCCTGTGCTACATAGTTAAAACTAAATGTAACTTTCTGCACATTCAAAACAAAACCTAATCAAAGATAATTCACAATGGCATGATTTAATTTCAATATATATTTTCACCAAAATGTGAATAAATCAAGCACTAAAAGAGTAATCAAATCACGGGTTAATAGGACTGATAAATATTACAACAAATTTCATCAAATCTAATTGACTTCTTCTTCTTCTTGAACTCCAACACTAAATTCCCACTCTCTATTCCTCCATCCACGATTCTTGACGAGGAATTTATAGTAACTCTTTTGTATCGATCTCGTCCGTTCATCCACTCCTTGTAATCCCATTCGACTCGATAACCAATCCGCATAATCAAACTGTTGACAAAACCAATGCTCGAGATTAGCCATCATAACAACTTTAACCCAATATAATCGAGTTTATTGCATTTCATACCCCTGTGTTATATCAAACCGCTAAAAAACTTCATATGTTATTAATATTAGCAAAAAAAATCCTTGCAATTACTTTTTTTTGGCAAACAACGCCCTAAAAATTGTGATTTTTTACTTTTTAGGGGTAGTTTGCGAATCATAGGGGATTTTTTGCTGATAAAATAACACGAGGGGTTCTTTTGCAATTACAGAAAACACAAGGGTGTTGAATGCAATAAACCCCGAAAAAAAAGACGAACCTCATGACCAAGGCTATGAGTATGGTGTTTCGGTACTCCTTTCTCAACCATATTCCGGTAGTATTCTCGAGTATCGGCCAACATTTCCTCCTCGGATGGTAGAGAGGTCTTTCCGGATAAAACACACGCTATCCACTTAGCTTGTAAATCATATATAGCTAGTACGGGAGCCTGCGTTTATAATCGAATAAGCTAATTTAAGTTCGCTTATAATACTAAATTATATATGTTTAAAAAGAAATTAGCTAACCGCAAAATATGGAAGACCGACGAAGGAAAGGCCGGGGGCGAGTTTTGGAGGGAAGATGTGTTTGTAAAGAGGTCCCACGCGGTTGTCATCAACCGTCACAATTCCATCGGTTTTCAAGAATGGGAAATCGTATTTGAACCTAGGAAAATTTCGTATAAATGTATTCAATAGTTCGGTGAATGTGAAAAAAAAAATCGAAACTAGGAAATTGAGGGGTAGTTTGGCGATCATAATTCATACCCTGTACAGTGGAAGATGATATCTGCGTAAACAGAGGCACCATCCTCGAACATAACTTCTCCATTTCCATCGA